GCACAGCGACACTGTTTGACTTAGGGATGTTGGACAGACACAGGAATGCAACTTTTTTATTTACAGAGCCTGTCAGTGTGCATTTTAGCAGATCTTAAGCCACCAAAGTTGTTTATGGCTAGCTGGCAAGTATTCTCATGGCATTTTGTCTCAGGAAGGAAAACTTAACAACGGTCAGATCCAGCCACACAAAATATGTAGATGATGAATGTGAACAAGTCCATTGTGTGACCCAGAGGAAGACCAATGGAGATGCTGTCCAGGCTTCAGAGAGGCTTCGGTCAGACCACAGTTGTTCCACTCAAGAAGCACCCCACAGTAAGAAAACCACGTGAGCGACTCCAACACAACCCTCAACTCTGAAAATCCTGTCCAAAATCCTTTATGTGCAAAGGGGAAGACAGATCCCTTCGAGTCTACCTGCCCTGGTTGGTGTGGCTGTCAGCTTGGCACAGCCTAGGGTCTTCTGAGAGAAGAAGCCTCAATGGAGTAACTGTCTGGCTCAGGTGGGCCTACCATCATGTTTCTGGGGGACTGTTTTAATTGTTAACAGATATAGGAGGGCCCAGCCCACGGTAGGTGGCACCATGCCTAGGCAGATGATCCTGAACTGTATGAGAAAGCCTTTGAGCTGAAAGTCAGCCTTAGGGCCAGCCAGCACCCAGCATCCCTCATGGCTCCTGCTGTAGCTCTTGGCTGTGAGGTGAGCTTCTTATCTGAAGGTCATGCTGTGTGGAGCAGCAAACAGCCCTGCCTTCAAGTTCTTGCCTTGACTTCCTTCATGGATGGGTTATGACCTGGAGTCCTAAGCCATTATAAACCTTTCCCCTTTTTGGTAATTTTGATCAGAGTACTTGATTCAGCAACAGAATGAAACCAGAATCCTGCCCTTTGTGGATTTATGTCCTTCCATTGCTTTTCCACGACTTCATAAATGTAGAGTGGTTCTCCTCTGGTAGAAGAAATGGTTGTCTTACTGAAACATCTTAAGAAAACACATACATGGCACTGGGAAGATGACTCAGTTGTTAAAGTGCTTTCCTTCCTAGCAGGAGAACCTGACTTTGATCCAAGAATCCACATAAAAACAGAGAAGAGGCGTAAGACACTGGCCCTGTGAAAGCCTGGCTTGAGAATCCTCCATTACTCTTCCGCTTTAGTCTCTGTACCTGACGCCCAGTAGGTTTGCAGGGTGGGCAGGGCGCACAGATTTGTTAAGGGGTGCAGTGATGGTCAATGCTCATTGCCAACCTGGCAGGCTCTAGAATCCCAAGTAGAAGACCAGCCTCTGGGCATGGCTGTGAGAGAGTTTCAAGACTGGGTTAACTGAGGAGGGATGCTCCACCCCGAATGTGTACAGCGCCAGCCCATGGTCTGGAGTCCTGTGCTCGATAAAAAGGAGGAAGCGAGCTGAAATCCACCTTCATCTCTCTGTTTCCTGACTGGTCACGTGTGAGCAGCTGCCTCATGCTCCTGCTGCCATGCCTTTCCCTCAAACTGTGAGCCAAGGTCAACCTTCCCTCCTGTCCTTTTCCGTCACAGCAGTAACATAATTGAGAAAAGGTCTACCAAGTCTTGTCTCTTTTACCTGCTTCTCTGTCTGCTCTAGGCTCTGCCTGGAAGCTGAGGGATGCTGGCGCCGTGCTCTTATCAGCCTCCAGAACTAAGGGCTGAAGTAAGCTCTTCTTTCCAACTCACTGAGATTCTGGTATTTTTTATAACAACAGAACTGGACCGAGACAGTACCTAACACATCAGACATTCAAGAAATGAATGAATGAATGTAATGAATGCTGAATAAAGAGCCCATTCAAATGATACATTGGAGCACTAAGGTGGTCTGGGACTCACAGGCATCACTTTCAGAAAAACGCCTATTCGAACACATTGTTCTAGCAGCGCATGGTTTGGACTGAGTGAAGCGAAGAGCCTGAGTGGTGAAATGTGGCTAAAGCGACTGTAAAGGCAGAAAGTCTTGGGAAGGTACCGCCTGCTGCCCGGATGTCTAGGAGAAAAATGGCGTGTTTATCTGGTAATAGATTCTTTTAAAAATATATTATACCATTATAAACAGTAACTCAATTAAGTAAATTGTTTAGCTAGATTTTTCATTCTGAATACAAATGAGACGCATTATTTGGAAAGGAGCTCGGGGACGGCCTCCAGGAGGGCGGACATCTATTTCAAGGGCTGGTGACTGATGACCACAGTGTAAGGCACGCTGTTTGTGCCACTTTCTGAGACGATTTTCCTTCAACCCACAAGCCTCGCTTATCACCCAAATGAGGGGTGGTTTACGGAAAGAAAGAACTCACGGACAGGGGGTTCTCGGTCCCCGACCCACCGATTTTTGTAAAATGCCCGGTTTTGCCCACCTGTGGGATGCAGCTATTTATCTCACAAGTCCAGCATGTAAGATAAACTTGGGTGCCCACACTTTAGGTGCCTGGGGCCCTTGTAGAGACCAGTTGGTCTGAGAAGGAAATGGTAGGGATAGAAGTGCTGAGAGGGAGAAGGAGAACGCACAAGTCATGTGCCGGGAGATGGCACAGATGAAAGTGTGACCAGCCAGTTTCCTACTCCCACGGCTGTGCCTTCCCTGCCTGCTGTCGTGTCTTCTGCACCATGACCAGCTCTATCCCTTGGACCCCTTTCCCCCTTAAGTCACTTTAGTCACAATGAAAGAGGAAAGTGGCCAGGGGAGAGCCACACCGCTGGGGTGGAGAGATGACAGTCTCAGGACAGTAGGTATTTCCCAACAGTGTAGGAGGCTTTTGATATTTTTTTTACTTTAAAATGCTATTTTATTTTTCATTGAGCATGTCACACACATGTGCCATGACATGGGTGGGCAGGTCAGAAGACAGCTTGGGGGAAGGGCTCTCTCCTTTGACCATGTGGGTTCCTGGAGTTGCACCTGGTTGTCTGCTGTGGAAGCAGCTACCTCCATCCACTGAGTCCTATCACTGGCCCCGATCCAGTGCTTTTCTTTTACACACCAGCCTTCTCCACCTAACCTGAGCTGAGCATTGCAAGCTTTAAATGACCAATATAGTCAGTCTCTACGTGTAGCCAGCCGCTAAATACCATCTCCTTGACATCTCTAGGACAGACGGCACTATGTCTTCTGGTGCCTTTAGTATTTGCTGAAAGAATGAGACACAGAGAACCAGGGAGACAGGTCAGTTGGTAAAGTGCTTGCCTTGCCAGGATGAGAAACTATGCTTGATCCCAGAACCCACGTAACCAAAAGCCAGGCATGGAGGTGTGCGCCCTCGTAATCCCAGTGCTGGAGAGAGTGGAGATAGGCAGATCCTCAGGGTTCCAGGTAGTCTAGCCTACTTGGCAAGTTCCAGGCCAATGAAAGACCCCTTCTCAAAAGAATAAACAAACAAAAAGTGAATGGAGCCTGAAGAACAAAGTCTGAGGTTATCTTCTTACATCCCTCCATACACAGACATAGACACACACGGACACAGACACACAGACACAAACACACACACACTTGGATGAGATATAAACCAAACAACCACAACTGGAATAACTAGCCATTTCCTCAGCAGGAAGGTCAGAATCTGAGATGTGGTCTCACTTGCTTTCTCTTTTTCTAAAGCAGATGGGGAGATGGAAGGTCATGTGATCCAAGCTGGTCCCCCTCCTATCACTCTCTATTACAGGTTGGAATAGGCTGTGGTCTTGCCTGCCACGAAGAGTCTTACAGGAAGGATATCTCAGGTAGCAGAAACAGGACATGGGGAGAGCCAGGCTGTCCCAACCGATTCTGGATCCAGCCATATCTGGAGAGTTCAAATGACCCAACACACCCCCTTTCTTTCCTAACAGTATTTTGAACTGGGTTGTTTGAATTGTCTGGATCATGTTGTTTTGTCTTTTGTTGCTCTAAGTCCTGTCCAATTGAGGTTGAAAGTTGAACTTCATGAGACAAATCACAATTCTGTGTTTTCCCTTGTGGAGTTGTTTGCATGTATTAGGGTGACATGCATGTGGTGTGTGCAGATATGCACCCCCATGTGCTTCTGTGGAAAGCAGAGAAGGGTGCAGGTGCCAGTTGTCACTTGCCACCTTATTCCCTTCAGACAGGTTCTCACTGAACCTTGTCCTGCTTTGCTTCCTGGCTTCTATGATAGACACCACAACAAAAGCAACTCGGCGAGGAGAGGGTTTATTTCCTCTTACAGCTTACAGTACATTACAAAGGGAAGCCAAGGCAGGAACCAAGAGGTAGAAAGTGAAGCATGAGCTGAAGAGGCCCTGGGGGGCTTGCTGCTTACTGGCGTGCTCTCTGTGGCTTCCTCAGCTTGCTTCCTGAGACACTCCTGGACCACCTGCCCATGGGTGACACCACCACAGTGAGCTGCCCTCCCCCCACATCAGTTATTAATGAAGAAAAAAACCCCACAGGCTTGCCTTCAAGCCAATTGGATGAAGGCATCTTCCCAGATGGCTCTAGTTTATATCAACTTGACAAAAACAAAACAAAACAAAACAAAACAAAACAAAACAAAATCCCAAACAAAACAACAAAAACTTCATCAGCACACTCAAGCTTGCCATTTTTGTCGTTGGCTGGCTAGCCGTGAAGACCCTGTGAATCTCCCTGTTTCCTTCAACTCTAGGATTTGGGTCACAGGTTCATGTGACCTAGCCTTTTTTTTTTTTTGTACATGCAGCAATCAGTCTTACAAACTGAGCCTTTCTCTGACCCCACTTGTGTTTTTTTTTAATTAAAAAAATGTATTTATGTGTATGTGTGCCTGACTGTGTGCATTTTTGCATGGGTGCCTGTAAAGGTGAGAAGAGGGTGCCAGATCCCCTGGAGCCGGAGTTAAGGGGGTTGCTGGGATGTGCGTGCTGGGAAGCGAACTCAGGTCCTCTGCGAGAGCAGCAAATGTTCTCAGCTGTTGAGCCATCTCTCCAGTCCTCTGTTTCTCAACCTTTCATATCCTGTGACATCATACCGGTTCACTTTGGGAACTCACCTCTCTCCGAGCAGAACGTCTGACAGATTTATAAACGTGGGGAAGTCCAGGTCATTCAAGACTGGGTAGGCATGAACAGGAACAAGCAAGGTGTCGTCTCCCTGAAATCGGTAGGGAGAAAAGTTAAGTGTTTGGAAAACTATAATTTTGAAAGATCAACTTTTATTTTTAACCATGAAAAAGGTTCATCTTAGGAAACCTCGGTGCTTTAAGTGAAACACTGGAAATATTTTGCGAACATACATGTTTCGGACATTGCCTGCATGTCCATTTGCATGGGTGTGTGCACACAAATGGCAGCTCAAGGACAACTTTGGATGTCTCTGCTTAGGTGTTGTCGCCATTGTAGGCAAGGTCTTTCACTGGCCTGGGAGTTACCAAATGTGCTGGAGTGGCTGGCAAGAGAGCCCCAGGGATCCACTGGTTTCTATCCCACCTCCAGCAATGGGAAGACGAGAACATGTCACCATGGCCAGCATCCTCGAAGAGTGGACTCTAGGGTCAGACTCAGGTCTTCCTGCTTGCATGGCAAGAACTTTACTAACTGGGCTGTCTCTCAGCTCCTAAAATTCTCATTTCTTGGCCATGAACAAAGCACAAAAAAATGTTTAACTGTGTCTTGCTGGAACAATGCTCTCTATTACCCATGAAAGCTAACAGTAATAATCCCCTTGTGTAAAAACAAAAGGCTCTATCCACTCCTGCTTGGGAACTTATAAAGGAAGATATTATTTAGGGAACCAAGAGAAGACCTGGCACAGAATCACCTAGTCCACAGGATCAAGTGGAAAGCCATTCAGCAGAAATAGAGCAAAAAGACCAATTCTAATTCATTCTAGTTTGGTTGTGACCTTGAACAAGGTCATTGATTTCTCCAGGTTTGTTAAGTCCTCAACAAAGTGCATATAGACATGTCTTCCCTTGATGATATCTTTAAAAATCAAAGCAGGCTATAGCCTTAAAATGTAAAAAGCACTGCATCAATATGAAGTATCTTTATTATACTTATGACCATTTCCAGCCACAGGAAATGTCCCCTGAGACTCTATACCCTGGTTTGACCCTGTATGAGGTCACATAGCTGAATATGGGATTATAAAACATTTGGTAATAATGAAGGTTTCTAAATGCAAAAATCAATTTAAAAATCAAATGTGTGATGCTCCTAGTAATACTCGCCCATGGGTCACCTCTTGATGTCACTTCAGCCTTGGTTCTGAATAAGGGACATGTACGCTTGCATCATACACGCCAAGACTCCAAACAATGACAGTCAACACTGTCTGAGACACCATGGCTCAGATCCAAGACCCTCAGGAGCTACTAATTGCAGAGTTTTTATAAACTGTGCATGTGAAGTAGTCTTCTCTTATAGGGACATAATGATTTAATTATGGAAAATGAGAATTCCATTTTTATTATTCTGTTTCTCCTTAGCACTGAAGTCGCCTTCTTTTTCCTCTGTTACTCCTTGACGTATATCAAATGTATCTTTGGATTGTATTATGTTAGCATATTCAGTTTTGTGTGTTTGCTTGCTTGCTTTTTAGTTATATTGCATATGTGTGTGGTGTTTGCACACGTATGTGTTGGCATGCATGCATGACGAGGCCAGAGGAAGATGTTGAGCGCCCCGCCCTGTCATTGTGCCTTACTCCCTTGAGACAAGGCCTCAGTGAACACAGAGCTAGGCAATCCCGGCAATCCTCCTGTTTCTGTCACGGCACAGTGCTGGGGATACAGGTATACTCATTCATGCCCGGGGTTCTACATGGGAAGCTGATCTCAGTGCTTTACCCACAGAACTGTCTCCCCAGCCTTGGCTTCATTTCTCGTACAAGGTTTGTCTATTTAGCCCAGAATGGCTTTGAACATGAGGCACTCTTCTGTGCTGAAACTACAGACCTAGGCCTTTTCAAAGGGAAACTGTCTCTAAGCCAGACCTTACCATACACACCTTAATAAAATACGGTTTTTAAAATTTTTAAAATAAAAGTTATTATTTGAAAGAAAAAAGAAACTCATTTGCTGCTAAATTGTAACCTTCTGTTAAGTGCAGCTAACTTTGTGGCTTCTGTACTCGTAAGCCTGGGCCTGGCTCAAAATGAGAGGCGAGTCATGTGACTGCAGGGGCTGCTGCCACAGGCTGGAGGCTGAAGGGTGAAGGGAGAGCTCTGGAATAGACTCCCCCAACCTCCGCCAGTGCGGGCACCTTGGGCCACTGGGCTCCACCTTTCCAAGGCCTCATAGTCTGTGGACATTGCTGCTGGGCCCTCAGGCCAGCGCCAGTGTTTGTGACTGCACAGTGGGGTGCTACTTATCTTCTCTATCTTCTAGCCCCACGCTTAAAGGAGCACGTTACGGTTATTTGACAACGCTTTCATGGGCCCGGCACCACAGGATAATGGAGGTTCAGGCAGTGGAGGCTTGCCGCACAGTGTCCAGGGAGTCTGCCCAGGCTCTCTGCGACCTAATCTGTTCCTGGTTGGGATGCAGGCGCAGCCCCAGAGCCTACAGCCTCACACACCACTGGGAAAGTGCTGAGGGGTCGTCATGGCTTTTTCTTTTTCCTTTCAGGGTATGATGTGTTAGGTGTCAGGCACAGCCAGCAGAGATCTGCCATGCAGGCCAGGAGGGCCATGTTCTAATCTTTCCAGCTGGGAGGAAGGGACGGCTGTGGGCCGCCTAGCCCCTTACAGCACTGAAGAACCGACAGGTCCGTCTAGCTCTGCTTTGTCCTCCTCCAGGGTCAGGCCCCCTCCCCTTGCCTAACAAACAGCACCTTCCAGAAACTCACCTTACAGTGAATTCGGATGCAGTCATAATAGTAACGCCACTCGTCTGGAGAAAATGTAACAGTGACCATGAGGGACAAGCCTGGGATGAGGTGATGCTCCTGCAAGGCAGGGAGGCTGCGTTGGGACAGGCCCCGGACCTGGCAGGCAGCAGCGCTGGGGGTGGGATGCAGGGAGAAGGCACAGACTCCTGCCCCAGCAGGCCCGACACAGAGGCCACAACCCCGTCCCACATCTCCCCCAGGGAAGGTGACCCAGGGACAGTACCTTCTTCTCGTAGGTGATCCGGAAGTATTTGGTCTGTGGTGGTAAAATATGAACGTGTGTGTTTTCATCTGAAATGTTGGTGATGTACTGGGAGAGAAGGAGATGAGTGAGAATCTAGATGAGTAAGAATCTGACTTATTTATGTATTCATCTCTTCACTGCGCACACCTCGTCTTTACTCCAGAAAGGGGCTGAGGACACATGCTACTTTAAACTCTTTAAAAGACACGAAATATGGGATGGAAGATGGCTCAGCCGGTGAATTTCTTGCTGGGCAACCATGAGGAGCTGAGTTCGGATCTCTAGCAACTCATGTAAAAAGCTGGGTGTGGCAGCTGTGAACCCCAGTGCTGGGGAGGAGACAGGAGAATCCCCGGGGCTCCTTGACCACCAAGTCTGGAAGAACAAACTAGCTCCAGGTTCAGTGAGAGACTCTGTCTCAAAAACTAATGTGGAGAGTGACTGAGGACGACACTCATGCCGGCTTCTGGCTTTCTTGTGCATACATACGGGCACTTGTGCTCACATACACATATGTGCACATAAGCCACACACACACACACACACAGAAGCGAGGGGAGTAGAGATTAGTATTGGGCAAACATGGCTTTTCCTAACATCTTAGAATGTGTTGTTCTTTACGTGCATTTATGTACATATGTTGACATGCAATAGCATGTTTAATATGATCAATAACACACAACTTTAAAGACATATGAGACTTTAAGCTTAAAGTTCTAGATTGTCAGCCAATTATCACAAAAGGACTTTATTAGGCCTGGAGAGCAGCTTAGCAGTTAAGAATGCTCCTACAGAGGATCAGGGTTCAGTTCCCAGCAGCACCCACAGCAAGAGGCTTACCATACCTCTAAGTCCAGACCCAGGAACCTGACTCCCTCTCCCAGAGGCCACAGGCATTAACACTCACACGCATATCACCCACCCCTCCACGGCCTCGGGGAAAGGTGGCTGACAGCCTCCTGTCATCGCAGCCCCACGGGATATAACACCCTCTTCTGGCTGCTTAGGGAACCACATACACGTGGCATGCATTCATAGTGTCTACTCTCATACACATGAATAAAATAAATTTGTTGCTGATTTTTGGCTAAATCTTGCATTACTTACTATAGCAAATAAACATGCTTTATAAAAAGCCATAAGCACATGGAAGCTTGGGTGGGCTGCACTGTGCCTATACTATGGTGTCAAGGCCTGGCACCCCCATGTCCTGAGGAGAAGACACTGCTATTCATGGTCCTAATTTTGAGAAGAACATCTTGGGAAGTGTAGAGTCCTTAAAAGTTGTAGCGGGAAGCTGGACAGTGTGTGATAGAAAGCTGCAGGCACTGCCATTGTAGGCTAAGGAGTTTTGTCTGCGCCTGCAACCACACTGGGTGTCTTCTAGGAAAAGTGATGGCTTATTTACTAATAAATATAATTTCTGAGATAAAAAAAATCTATCCCCAAAGGAGAAAATAGAATGTTAGGGGTCTTGGGTTTTGAAAAAAAAAAGCAAAAATTATTTAAAATCTTAAAGTAGACCTTTAAAGCATTACTATTAATATGCATGCAAACAGAAGGCTTCGAACCCTCTAGAGCTGCGTGGCCTCTGTGCTAATGAACCACACTCAATCATTCCATCTGCATTGTTTCCTGGGCCCAAACCTACGAAGGTCCTTGTGTCATCTCCTGTAAGAATGAAGACCATTCTTAGCAGTCAAACTACCCACACTGCAGAAAATGTCCCTACCTCACTCTGAGGGGACACAATTACTGTGAACCCTTCTGAGGGACTTTAGTGGCGTCAATGTAGGGCTGAATCTCTTTGGAAAGAAAAGGAGGCTCCAGGTGAACAGATGAGAGCTGGCTGCTACCTGAACATCTGTAGCCGTGCCCAGATGACACCCAAGGCTGTTAGAGCCAGCTTCCATTTCAAGACCGAGCCCTGAGTCTGTCCACATCTGTGTCTACATCCCCACCAACAATGGTTCAGAACAAGAGATCTCTTGGTTCAAACCACAGGGTTCGGGGCAGGGCAGGTGTTGGGTGTTCAGTACACCACGCCCAGAAAGATGACTTAATCCTTGCAGGAGATATGGCCCTTGCCCTTGTTTTGAGTTCAGCCGCATTTCCTTGGCAAACCATGGCAGTTACAGGCAAGGATGTGAGAAAGGTTTGAGATGCTGTCTGTGTTTCTGAAAAGGAAACCACATAGCCGGCTGATGACTGAGACCTCAGTTACCCTGCTGCAGAGTCCTGGAGAAGAATAATGATTTGGGACCATCTCTGGCACAATAAAGACTTCTACTGATGGGGGAGGGGCTGTTGGCTAGTAAAACGCAACCGTTAGCGGTCTCCTATTATTCACCAAGAACTGTTTTGATATTGGTGTTGCCCGAGTGTGCTTGAGTATGAGGTCATCCACTGGGGTAAAAGCAACTACAGCGAACACACCACAGGAGAAAACTGCCTCTCCCTTCCCTGGGGGCCATCAACTGCAGATAGCTCCTCAGCTGGAGCTGGGGCCTCAGCAGGCATTCCCCAAACCTTGATGGAATTTTGACTGGCTCGGTCTTGTGGCGGTCTTCTGCAGAAAGCCACAGCTGCGGTGAGCTCAGATATGCAAAGCCAAGTCGTGTCCAGATTATATCATGGCACTTGTCCTCACTGTCTGGCTCTAACACCCTTCTGGTCCCTCCTTATTAATGTTTCCTGGGTGTTGTGGGTGGCGAAGCAGGTCCATACAGGTCCCTGTGGTGGCTGAGCCCACACTCACTCATTTGTAGCACTTCCAACAGTTTCGAAAGCTTTTGATAAGGATATTAAGATGATTGCTCCAGGCTTCTGCTTAGCTTTACTGACGAGAACAGGAAATTGGCTCTCCCCAGTGTCTCCAAGAATGCTATTAAGATGAAATCATGTTATACTTTTATCTACTTCTTGTTTGTTTTAATGTCTGATAGAATCAATGGGATGCTTTAGACGTCACACTGTCCTTGGTGAATGAGTGAGCTGCCAAGTCAACCTTGCCTGAGAGTTTAGTGTCTTTCCTTTTCTAGAGTTCACTGAGTGTCTTTTGTGTGTCTGGCATCGTGCTGGGCACCGAGGAAGTAGCAGGCAAGTGGCTGCCCTCCAACAGGGTGAATCAGCGTTGAGACTTCGGATCTTGAAGACTTTTATCTTCAATTTCTGTGTACATGTATGTCTTTAGGCACATGCATGGGGAAGCCTGTGGAAGCCAAGAGGGTGTGTCTGATTCCCTGGAGCTAAAGTTACAGGTAGGTGCGAACTGCCCAACACGGGTGCTGGGAACCAAGGTCAGACCCTCCACAAGAACAGTATGCATGCTTAACTGCTCAGCCATCTCCTCAGTCCACTCAGGTTGTTTATGTTACTATCTGAACCCCAAGCCACACGGTGAAAAACAAAACAAAACATGGAAGATGAGGCTTCAGCCAGGGCTGCCTTTGACCTGCTCTGGTCATGCCTCAATCAGTCATTCTGGCAGAGAGAATATGTACAATAGAATGACCACTGCCTCCCAGACCTAGACATGTTTTCTCTGGGCAGGCATGGCACCTGAGCAGAGAAGGTCAGAGGAAGCCCTGCCTGAGACGTCCGGGAAGGAGCAGCCCCTTCCCTGGTATTGAATCCACTGGTTTGGAGGAAGACAGTCCCTGAGTACATTCTGGTCCCCATCACTCAATCTCCTGTGTACTGGAACACATGAGTTAAGCTTTTGGAATTAGGGTTTCTCATTTAGAAACCCCCTCCACAAAGCTACTGGGAAGCCCGGACCCTGGTCCCAAGAGTGGACAGGAGGGGCATAGTTTTGGAAAGAGTACTGAGAGTAGTCCCTTGGCAGAGTGGAGTTAGTTTAGAGACACTGATGGCTTTTCTAAATTCTTCTCAAGAAACTGCCTTTCTGACTAAGCACCCTCCGCCTCTTTCTGTGTGTATTTGTGTGTGTGTGTGTGTGTGTGTGTGTGCGTGTGTGTGCAGGCCAGAGGTCAACCTTGGGTGTCTTCCTTTTCTAGTTGATATTTTATTACTGGGGATCAGACAACTCCCAGGAGTCAATTCTCTCGCTCTTCCACAGGGATCCTGGGGCGCGAACTCAGACTGTTAGGGTTGGTGGCTCGTGCTTTAACCTGCTCAGCCGTCCAGCTGGCCCTACCTTAAATTTTCTTATTACGTTTATTTACTTATAGGGGGTGAGGGTTGTGATTTGTTCATGTGGGTCCGAGGACAAGTCTTGGGAGTTAGTTTTATTCCGCTTCCACGCGGGCTTCGTGGCTGGAACTCAGATTGTCAAGCTTGCTGCTAAGTGTACACAGAGGCATTTCACTGCCGACTCCCATTATTTTTTGAAACAAGATCTCTCACTTTTACCTGGAGCTGAATGGTTCATCTACTCTGGTTGGCCAGTAAGCCCCATTCTATCCACCTGTCCCCACCTTCCTGGCAAATGAGTTTTCAAGCCCACGCCACAACACCCAGCTTTCTGACATGGTGCTGGTAATCGGACTCAGGTCCTCGTGCTTGTGCAGCAAGCCCCTCACCACTTGAACCATCTCCCGGCCCCTGCTCTGTATCTGAACATGAATGCTCCCCCACCTTGTGCCCTTAACAAGTACGTACCAGAATCTGTTGGTGCTGTTTTTCTATCTCGTAGCCTCCAAAATGAACTATGCCTGGTTTGGCCTGGATGACTTTATTGTTCAGAAGCTTAGCATAAACCTCTATAAGAGAAAGGTAGAAAGTCCATTGTGAGCTCTCAAAGAGAATACTACATTGAAGATGTTCTTATTGGGCTGTTTTTAGGGCACTTTAAATACATGCACTGTCCAGACGCTTGGCACAACTGTCAATAAGACTGATTATGAGTCCCAAATAAACTGGACTGAGTCTCCTTTTCTACTTAAAAAATATTATATTTGTGTGTGTGTGTGTGCGTGCATGGATGTGCATGGCTGTTTGTTTGTGTCCGTGCGTGCCTGCAGAGGCCAGAAGAGGATGTCAGATCCCCTAGAGCTGAAGTTCCAGGCAGCTGTGAGCTTCCCTATGTGAGTGGTGGGATCCAAACTCAGGTCTATAGAGCAGCAAGAGGCCTTGACGGATTGACTCTCCCCTCCCTTTCATCTTTGTTCATATATGCTTGCTACCATTAAAGTTATTTGCTCGTATGTCATGCGTATCTTGTGTGTGTGTGCTATTGGAGGTAAAGAACAACCTCTGGTGTTAGTCTTCAGGCGCTGCCCACTTTTGTTTGTTTGTTCATTTTGAGACAAGGTATATTACTAGCCCTGAACTTAGAAGGTAGACTAGGCTAGTTTGCTGGTGAGTCCCAGGGAGCTGCCTGGCTCTGCCTCCCTAGTGCTGGGATTACAAATGCACATCAGACATATATGCTTTTTGTTTGGTTGGTTTGTTGTTGTTGGTGATGGTAGTGGTGTGTGTGTGTGTGTGTTTTACATAAGTTATAGTGGTTGAGTTCAGCTTCTTATGCTTTCAAGGCAAGAATTTTACATCTTCCTAGCCATGTTACACATGTCTTTCTAAGAAAACACCAAGTTAACTTACATAAAGGCTGCAAAATCAGAATATGGGAAAAAAAAACCCAAACCCTTTTTTTTAGGTAGGGTTATTATTGCTGTGATGAAACACCATCTCCAAAATCAACTTGGGGAGAAAGAGTTTGTTTGACTTGCATGCCCTGAGTCAGGGTCTATTGAGGGAAGTGAAGGCAAGAACTCAAACTCAGCGAGAACCTGAAGGCAGGAGCTGATGCAGAGGCTATGGAGGGGTGCTGCTTATTGGCTTGCTCTGCCTGCTTCCTTCCAGAATGAAGGACAGCCACCCTGTGGATGGTCCCACCCACAATGGGCTGGATCTCCATCCATCAATCAGCAATAAATTAAGAAAATTTCATACACACTTGCCCACAGTCTGATCTTATGGAGGCATTTTCTCAGTTGAGCTTCCCTCCTCTCAGATGACTCTACCTTGTGTCAAGTTGACAGAGGACTATCCAGCAGACCTTGGCAAAGGTTGGCAAATATTGGAAAAAAAAAAGGCTGGAACCTTTCTCCTCTCTGGAGCCACTGGCACAGACCCTCCAGGGTGTCTGAAACTGACTGGCTCATTATAACACTAAACATACACACCCCTGGGTGGAGATTTGAGATGTCAACACATCATGTGCTCTATGAAACTGTATGTTAAACTTCATGAAGCCAATAGAACTTGTGAGAGAAAGCCTGCTCTGGGCAAATGCTCCAAAAGCCTGCGTCACAGCACAGAAGCCCCAACTCTGCATAGTGGGGCCTTTGAGCTTCTAAACTCTCTCCCTGCTCTGGCCTACTTCTCCCTCCTTGGAAGCAGCCTCGTTTCCCTCTCTGGACCTGCCCCACCGCGTATACTTTGGTGTGTGTATGTGGGCACATTCATGTGTGGTCCAGTGCAGTGTCCTTCTTTAGAAGCTTCCTATCTTTCCTAGAACTCCTGACTCAACTGTGATGGCTGACCTGTGAGCCCTTGAGTCTCCTGTCTCTACCTCCCAGCACTGGGATCACAAGCTTGGGGCCTGGAGGTGGAACTCGGGTCCTTCAGCTTGTGCAGTAAACGCTTTTCTGAGGGAGTCATCTCCCCTGCCCATGCACCAGCTCTCAGATACACCTGTTTCTGCTGATCTCCGTGTCTCGGTCTGGTTCCTTGTGCTGAGTCACAAGAACCTGGAACTCGAGGTGCCTTCTGAACCCCAACAGCACTGACTTGGAGCTGTTGTAGACTCCACTGTGTGGAAGTGGAGTTGGGACTCACAACTTACCCACAGCTGGTCATCAGCAAGCAAGCCACTGCCCTGTGAAAGCCCAGTGTCTTGTAAATGTTAACCTCTTTGTCCATATCTAAATCCTGGGTGCCACAGACATCAGCACCCATTCTCTCTGTACCCTGTGCATCTGAATTGGGTAAAAGGTTCTTATCATGTCGATATCATCAGCTGGAATGGGGCAAGGACACTGTTGAGAATTCTGGGGCTCTCTGCTCTCCTTACCTTATTATTTGATCATTTTTAAGTGTGAAAATTACTATTGGGTATTTCTTTTTCTTTCTCTTCTTTCCTTTTCCTTTCTTTTTTCCCCTTTAGTTGGGGTCTCATGTATCCCAGGATGCATCAAACTCACTATCTAGCCAAAAAATGACCTTGAACTTGTGATTCTCCTGCTTCAATCCTGAGCGCTGAGATACAGAGATGGGCTACTACATTCAGTTTATGTGGAGCTGAAGATGGAAGCCAGGGCCTCATGAGTGCTAGGCAAGGGCTCTAACAACTGAGCTATAACTCTAATACATTTTAGATACTTTTTAATGCTAAAAAATTCTGTTTTAGACTCACAAAGTAGCTTGGTGTGTGGCTGCCTAGAAAGGTTAAAATGGTTAAGTATAACGACGTGTACTTGACAGTCTTAAGGTGACAGAAAAGCCACATGGAGCAAATGCATGTCTAAAGTTTAGTGTGGTGCTTGAAACATGGATTTGTATGTGTTGGAGGGTGTGGCTAGTTTTTTCTTTCTTTCTTTCTTTCTTTTTTGAGATAGGGTTTCTCTGAGTAGCCCTGGCTGTCCTGGACTAACTTTATAGATCCAGTTGGCCTCAAACTCAGTGATCCACCTGCCTCTGCCTTCCAGAATGCTGAGATTGCAGGTGTGAACCACTGTGCTCGGCTTGGGTGGGGCTGGTTTTAATTGTCACCTTGATGCAACCTGCAGTCACCCAGGGAGACAGCCTCAACAAAGCACCTCCATCAAGGTGGCCTTGCAGGCATGTCTATGTGAGACTGTCTTGATGTGGGAGGACCCAGTCGGAAAGAGTGGAGCAATGTTCCCTGATCTGGGGGTCCTGGACTGAATAAGAGAAATCAGCTGAGCACAGTGTGCATTTATTCTCTCTCCACTCATGACCTGCTGCCTCAAATTCCTGCCTTGAATTCCTTGCTTTGATGGACTGTGAGCTGTGGACTTGGATGGGCTGGAACTGTGAGCTGAACACCCCTTCTTCCTTGAGTTGCCTTTGTCAGGGCACTTCACCACAGCTGTGGAAGTGAGACCAGGGTGGAGGTATTAGACATGATGGTAGGGAGCTGGCCGTGGCTCACCACCAACAGAATGCCGCCTCCACCCTCACAGGTGGAGCAAATGGTGGGGCTTTCCTACAAGTCAGCTTCTCCAACTGTGCACAGCAATAGAACGTTTTCAGGAAGTTGTTGTATGACCATCAGGTGAAGCTCATGGGTTTCCCCCCCCCCCCCGAGGCTTTCCTGGTCTTGTGACACACAAGAAAGGATGAAATGCTCTTGTCTGAAGGAGCAGGGTGACCTGTATGGCTGGTGTTAGGGATGAGTCAGACAGGACATGTGGATGGCAAAGGGTCAGACAGCCTAGGGTGAGGTAGGAAAGAGAGACAGGAAAAGCTGGGGGGACATGAGAAAGAAAGAGAGCCCCTCACCCTAGCCAGTTGAACCCTCCCACCAGCAGAGAAGTAAGAATCCAGCGCTATTTAATGACTGCCTCAGGCCTTTCCCCCTTCATTCTATAAACCTAGGCTTTTCTAAGAGCCTTGCCAGAAACCCAACCTTCAGGGAAGGGACCGCGGTAAACCACGTGTAAAAACATAGTGGTGTCTTGTTTTACTTTGTCAGATTCTAACTCCATCCAAAGAATTGCCAGAATCGGCCTGTAATCTCATCGAGAGAGAGAGAGAAAAGGACAGAGAAGAGTTCTTAGCAACCATTTGAAAAGTAACCTGAGAGCCACCACAATGGCATATACTTCTAATAATAAGGTCTAATAATAAAGCCAATAATTATAGCTGCCCCTCGGAGAGCCCACACACCTGGGTGCGTGTTCCTCCTGGGAACCCTCATAGAGAAGGCCCACACCAAGGCCTTCCCAGCTGTCTTGATGTCTGCTGAGCACCTCTCTTCCTCTTAACCCTGTGCCTAAGCCTTTATCAAAATATATTTAATATACCTGGCTCTTCTACCTAAGCTGACCGCCTCTGAAAACTTTTCTGTGTCAAAGAGATGAATCCTGTTTTGGCCCAAGTGGGGCCCCTGGAGATTAGGGGAACTCCTCGGCTGCTGAGGTTGACGGAATAGAGCCCCTCTCTGTCCCCTCATGCTTATCAGAAGAGCCATGACTTCATCCAGGATGCAGAGAGCCGTTGAGAACGTTCAAGTGGGACAGAGGTAGGCATGAGGGGTTCTAGAAAGGAAACTGAGAGTGTGGGGACTGAGGTGAGAATTGTGGTGGTCCCAGATGCCTTCTTGTGGCCTCTATGAGCACTCACACACATGTGGTTTACACACACAAACATATACATAAATGGAAATGAAAATAAGTGTTTCTTTAAATGTACCACTTAAGCAGATCGATCAACTATCAGTCTTAATAATAAAAACCATTATGAGGCTCTACTGTGAGACAGCTGAATCACAGCACAGTCCCAGCTTCCAGGACCCTGGATCACCTGAAGACCTAATTTGTAGGCAGGCTTGCTGCTCACTTACTGGATTCCAGAAGGTGGTTGGGCACTTCTCTTTTCTTGGGCTCTTCCACCAGGCTCTTCAAGAGGAGGGGTGACACCTTTTCAAAGGGTTCTTCTGCATTATTCACTTCCTGCCTAGGCGTTTTCACAACTTCCATCTTCTCATGAAAAATGGAGTTGTCTTTCTGGAGTTAAAGTCATTTCCTGGGGAGAAAAACAGAAGGCCCAGAGTCCTCATGAGAACTCACGCACATATTTCTTCTCAGTTTCTGACAAATGTACCTCTTGTCCCTGCATGGTGTACTCTGCACCCTCCCCACTCCCGCCCGCCTCTCTTCTGCTGGACACTGCATTCCCACACGGGGCTGTCTCATTAATCATTTGGCATCACACACCATAACCCAATATGGCAACATGCTCCAAACTCTCCCATGACTCTTCAGGGCTCTTCCTGGGATGCTTCTTCCACACATGAGAGGGAAAGAAAGAAAGAAAAATTCTCAAAGACTAATACATTTGCAAAGTGCTCTAATATTCTGTTGCTATGACAAGACATCCTGACAGAAGGCAATGTAGGGAAGAAAAGGATTTATTTTGCCTTACAACTCCAGACCATCAAGGGGAGTTGAGACAGGAACTCAAACAACCCACAGTCAAAAGCAGAAAGAAATGAAGGTTCCCATGCTAGCTGCTTCATTTTGCTATCTAGCTTTCTTCCCTCTTCTACAGTTCAGAGTCTAGCCTGGAGCACAGCGCTGCCCACAGCAGACTGAGACTTCTCACACCAATTAACAATCAGCCCACAGACACCCAGAGGCCAATCTGACCTAGGTAATTCCTCACCAAGACTCTCTTTCAGGATGAATCGACTTTGTGTCAAGCTGACAGTTGACACTCTTCTTGCTGACATGTATCCACATCACACTCACACAAGAGATGTGTACAAGGGTCCTGTCAACATTTTGACTGCAAGATAGAAGTTACCTTCTGGACCCCTCTGCTAATAGGAGGTTGCCAGGCCACAGAGAGCTGGGGTGTGCCCAGGAACTCGGGGTCTCTGCCATTTTCAGAGTAACCTTTTCCCGACGGTCATTGGAAATTGTACTTTCCTCATAAACACCAGTTCCCAAACCCCTTCAACACTCTTTCTCAATTACTGTCTAGTTATTTGGCATTAACAGTGCATGACCTTGAAACAGAACTTTATAAATTCCACATTAAAAAAAAATCCTAACTATTATTGTGTGTGCGTGACTGGTGGGGAGTGGAGATGTATGTGTGGAGGCCGGAGGACAACCTTGTAGAGCTGGCTTTCTCCTTCCATTTTTGTGTGGGTTGTGGGGATTGAACTCAGGTCATCAAGCTGCAAAACAAGCTCATTTCCCTACCGAGCCATCTCACTGGCCCCAAATCTCACATTTTCCGTATCAGCCACAACTCTCGACTCCTTTGTACAAGCAGAGGTCCGCTCTGAGAAGCCCCTGAAATTGAAGGTAAAATCAAGAATGCGTGTTTATGAGTTCTGCTTTTGTTTTTCCTGGTGAAGCCCCATAGCTTTCGAGAAGACACGAGAGGACGTAAAGATACAGTGAGGTGCACAGTACTGTAGCTGCCTAATAATCATTTTCAGAAATAAGCTAGGCGGTCCTCTCCCCCGAGTCCCTTTCAGTAGCAAAGGCTGTGCAATCCTCAGCACAGCCTGGGGAGCCCTCTTCACTACCCCTCCACCGCACCCCTGCATACCTGGCCTTCCAATGCCTGCCCCAAGCCCACCCTCCACCCCTGCTGCTCGTGGTCGCGCACCGCACCGGCACTGCCTGTATTTCAGGTAGGGTCTCACCTACGTTGGGCAGGGCCTCACCCTGGCTGGCTAACTCCAAGCTAAGGGGTACGTAGGAAGCAGACTCGCCCCGCCGCCGCCACCACCGTCATTTCTTTGGGACCTCCTCCCGCCCCCAGCCCGCTCCCTAGATGAACATCTGCCAGGGGGCTCCTACTGCTTTAGCAGCTCAGCGACCACCTTTGGACACTCAGGCTCCAAGTCCGAGGCCTCTTATCCTGCAAATGATAGTCCCGGGGCGGGATTCGGCTGCGTGCAGGAGCCTACTCAGAGCGTCGCCATGACGACGTGGACGCATTCCCAGGATATGCCGAGGGACGCGCCCAAACGGCCCCTAAACATGGGGGAAGTTGGGCGGTTTTTGTTCTGGGGCTAAGGTTAACTTCTTGGGGCTCTGAGCAATGTGTGGATCCTGAGAAAGACTAGGGAGCGCCCCTTACGGTGTGGAAAACTAATGGAATCCCAGAGGAGCTGAGAAAGTTTGGCGACACCACGGACTGGGCAGCCTGCCTCAGCCGATGGGGCGGGGCCTCCCTGCGGAGTGGGCGGGAGTGGACGGGACCTCCTTCTGTACATTCTGCCTTTTTTTTTTTTTTTAGTTTCACACTTTGATTTCTCATAAAGTTCATACACTAGCAAAGTTAGGCAGTATGCTAAAACCCTGACTCCCCCCCCCCCCAAAAAAAAAAAAAAAGCTCTTAACACATGCCCTTCTCCATCACATCCTCTCCTCTTTTGTTAATAACCCACTGACTCCAATTAGCGCTGCCGGCTGGAATGTTGACTGAGCGTGTTGACTTGACCTTGTGCAGGTCTGGCGCAGATAACCACGGCTGCAGGCCGTTCGTGGGTGCAATGGCCATCTCGTGTCCAGAACACAGCTGTGCACAGCCTTCCTCCCTTCCTCCGGCTCGCACCCTGTGTCTGCCCCTTCTTTGATTTTCCTTGAGCACCGGGTCCGGAGTTGGCCTGATACAGACGTTATTTTTAGGTTGAGCCTTTTAGACCCTTATTCTCAGCACTTTGACCAGTTATGAATCTCTGCATTAACTGCTGCCACCGCAGCTGCTCTGGCCAGGGTCAAGGGCTGTCCTGACCCGTGGATGTAAGCATAAATATTTACAAGGCGGGTTGGCAACGTGCAGTTTAGTAGATAGCAGTAGTAGGTTCTTCCCTGGAGCGTTGACTCTGCGGCCACCAGCTTTTGGCTGGATTTACAGTACCAGGCCTGAATTCCTACTTGTGGAGAGGCTTTAAATCTACTCCAAAGTGTTGGAAGTTTACATAGTCCGCCCAGGAGCCCTCTTCAGCTGCTCTTCCGGTCTCGCTCCTTTCCTGTATGACTTGGCGCTTGATGTTATTTACAGCCCTTGGTGGAGAGACTCTAGAGTCTAGAAGGTGTCTAACTAAGTACATGCTGTCTACTGCCTACATCTGTCGCTCTGGATGTGGCTCTTCCCCCGACTCGAGTGCGTTTTTTTGTTTGTTGTTTTTGTTTTGTTTTGTTTTTTGTTTCACTTTTCCCTCTTTCCTTACCATCGTTACTACCTATTGAAAACATTATCTTGGGACTGGAAAGACGGTTCAGTGCTTAAATGTGTTTGCTTCCAAGCCTGATGACCTGAGTTTGATCCTTCAACCCTTATGATAGAAGGAGAGAAGGGACTCCTGTAGGTTGTCCCCTGACCTATGTGCGCGCACACACCCCCTTAATGTAGAAAATTCAAATAACCTCATTTTTCAACACTGGCACTAGGTAATATTCACTTTCTACCCTTTTCTTAACTTTCCCAGCAAGAGAGACTTGTTTTCTTCTCTGTGTTTTCATAAGCCTTTCCTCACACCTTTTTGAGTGCAGGTCTCATATATCTTGGGCTGGCCTAGAACTCTCCGTATGCAATGGCTTTGAGCCCCTGCTCTTCCTGCCTCCGCCTCTCACAACATGTTGGGATTGTAGGTGTGTGCGGCTATACCCAGCTCCATCTTTATCTCTTTATAACACTTATCTCTTCAGAGGTTACACCCATCCTTATTTGAGTATGTGCCTTGTTTTTGGTTTTGGGATAGAGTCTCATGCATCTTGAGCTGACTTCAGACTTGCTATGTAGCCAAGGATGGCCTTGAATTTCTAATTTTCCTGCTTGCACCTTGTTTTTTTGAGACAGGGTCTCTCACTAGCCTGGAAATAACCTGTTCATCTAGGCTGGCTGACCAGCAAGTCCCAGGGATCCTCCTGTGTCTGCCTTCCCAGCACAGGGTTTACAAGCTGGTAAAACCATGCTTGACTCTTTTTATGTGGGCTGTGGGGATAGCGCCCTCAGGTTCTGATGCTTGCAAGGTGAACACTTTATTGACTGAGCTATTCCCCTAACCCACACTCTGAGCCTGATTTCTGAACCCTAATGTTCATTCAGTGTAAGCTGTGAATCAGAAACTGCATTTTACTAAAATTCCACCAGGATGTTTGTAAGCTCATTAAAGCTTGAGAATTCTGGATCCCACGGATGCCCTATAATTATGGCTAGCCTAGATGGTTAATTATTTCCTCTCTTCATGTGCATGCTGCAGTTGGCATTCACAATGACCAGACAGAGAGGTGCCCCAAGCCCCAGGAGAATGAGAAGAGATGCACATGACAGCAGGTATAGAAGCTTGTCCCAAGTTTCTATGGAACTGGGAGGACCATTGATTTCCTCGTTTAAATCACTAAATGGGAAATAAGATTCAAAATGTTGAAGGTGCTTTCAGGTGTAGGCACAAAATAGCCACCACCCCACTCCTACCTTCTCTTCTTACCGCCCCCATCCTCCCTCACCACCTTTGCTGTTTCTATGCCTGGCAGTGTGGTGGCTTAGACTAGCTACTGATCCATCCTACTTCCATGGAGAGCTGGGGGCCCGTCCTCTCTTCTGGGATCTTCACTGATCTGTGACTGTTTTCACTGGTCAGGTGAGCCCCACGTGAATTTAAGGTCCCAAAGCTTGTGAGGTAGAATAGCACGGTGGTTGTTTCAAGGCATTAAGTTTGGTACAGGAGCTTATGGTGCAACATCAAATAGCCAGAAACCTGACTGACTCCTAAGCCAGTTCCATTTTGACAGCCAAGGACAGGGAACAGTGCCACCTACAGTGGGCTGGTCTTCTTTCCTCAGTTAGTCTGATCAGGATAACTTCTGTAGTCACTCAAGAGACTCAGAGTGTCCCTCACAGGTGTGCCTGAGGCTCCTCTCCTGGATGCTTTAGATACTGTAAAGTTGACACTTAACACAACTTCACACTTGACATTTGAGTATACTGCTAATGATTTTTGTCTTGAAAAAAAAATTTTTAATGTGCTCTGTTTATCTAGTGATCCTTCCAAACTTCCACAATTCTTCATGATCTTTCTCTCATTATTGCTCTTGTGGTTTCCCTCAAACAACATTTCAAATAAGACACAACAGGAGACTGGAGAGCTTTTGCTCATATAGAGGACACAGGTTCAATTCCCAGTATGGACATGGTGGTTTACAACCATCTATAACTCTAGTTCTAAGGGATCTAAAGCCTTCTTTTGACTTCCACAAAAGTCAATATATATATTTCATTGGTGTTTTGTCTGCATGTGTGTCTGTGTGAGGGTGCCAGAAGCCCTGGAGTTGCAGACAGGTATGAGCTGCCATGTGGGTGTTAGGAATTGAACCCTGGTCCTCTGGAAGAGCAGCCAGTGCTCTTAACTGCTGAGCCATCTCTCCAGCCCAAAAAGTTATATATAGTTTAAAATAAAGTAAAAACACAGCAGAGAAAGCTCGTTTCCCCTCTCCAATGGCCAGAACTTCAGTCTGAAGTCCAGAAATCTTGGAGGCAGACCATGGAAAGCATCATCTGACGGTGACATGGATGCTGCCAGCTGGGAATCTAAACGAGGCTCTCAGCCAGCTATTTACATGCACTGAATTCTTTTCTTTCAAAAAAAAAAAAACTTACTAAATTTATTCTTTGACAAACCCGTACATATACACAGTGCATTTTTTTCTTTCTATATTTTATTTGTTTTGTGAGTGTGTGTCATGGTGCACATGTGGAAATCAGCGAGATCAGTTCCCTCCTACCACGTGGGACCTGGGGGATTAAACTCAGGTGCTCAGGCTTGAGCTGTGCACCCTCCTCACTAAGCTAGCTCACTACACACAGTACTGTCTCTTGCTCTCTATTTGTATATAATGTGTTCTCTCTCTGAACCCCACCCTGCGTGCCTTTTAGCCTCACCCCCTCCTTACAAGTCATTTTCTTTTTGTTTCATGTCCAGCTGAGTTTAACCAGAGCCATCTGTGTGAATAGGGCTTCAGAGTTATCCATTGGTGCCTTGTGGGTTCGCCAGGGAGCACAGGGCTGAAGATAATGTCTGACTCTTTCCCACACGGAAATGCCGAAAGATGGGTACTTATCCTCCACTGCATAAATGAAGAAGCTGAAGTCTCCAGGGTTCAAGCAACTTGTCCAAGGTCCTAGTGTTAGTTGCTGATTAAGTAAGAATTTGAATACAGGTTTGGCTGTTACCAAATATTCTTTAACAATTCTATTTTTATAACGTTTGTTTGTCTTGTGTATATGTATGCCACAGTACGTGTATGGAGGTCAGAGGACAACTTAAGAAAGTAAGTTTTTTTCTTTCTACAGTGTAGGACTCAGGGATTGTACTCAGGCCGTCAGACTTGGAGGCAAGCACCGTTACCTGCTGAGCCATCACAGCAGCCACAGTATTGTTTTTCTTACCTGGTGCCATGTGTGTTTCTCTGGGGAAGTTGGGGTGCTCCTGACCTTTCATCCAGTGATGATAAGGACTTGAAAGCACTAACAATACCTTTTCAGGGGGTGGCTTTATTTTCCCTTTTATTTACTCTACTTTAACTCTCATATTTCATATAAATATTCTAAAGAATGCTGACAAATGGTGGTGGAAAATACAAAAAGTAAAGAAGGAACTGCTTCCTTGAGAAAGGCAGTCTACATTTCTAGAGAGTAAACACAGAGGCTGGACCATAAAAAACTCATTAAAATGTGAATGTTAAACCTTTGTAGTTCAGCGCTCAATAGGAAACCCACTCTGGCTCATTATTTATGGTTCATCAATAAAACATTAGTTCTGCTCCCAGCAAAGCTGCCATTCAGGGCACAGGTCTCCCCATGTAGCTGATTTCATGCCTCTGATGGCTTTCTTTGAAATTGTGCAGTCATTTGATGGAGACCTTGGGCTCAGACACCTGGGAAGCCAATTCCTTCCCTTTTCCTCCATTATCTCCTCTCAGAACCTCCAGACCACTAAATCTCAAATATTACTTCCTCAGGGAAGCCTCACTGGAAAGCAAGTATATTAGTCAGGGTTTCTACAGGAGCAGAACTTATAGAATTATTCTATCTATCTATCTATCTATCTATCTATCTATCTATCTATCTATCTATCTATCTATCTATCTATCTATCTATCTAT